AATTAACTAGATGGTTGGAATTCTTTAACAATATATACATCTATCAAATCAACACAATGTACATGTTAAATATATTATAATTTTCCTTGTCATCTACATCTCTGTAAAGCTGACCATTAACAACCGGATGAATAAATGAAGAAAGGAAGCAATAAAAATTTTGTAAACAGAAACAAACAATATTCCTGGGCTTTATACTTCTTCTCAACTTGAAATTGGGTTATATAAATTGCACATAATGTTAGGTATTCTATGCTTCTTCTGTTGAGTAGTCCTGTATGTATTTTCCTATGAAAGGCACAGATGCATAAAAGGCCTGATTTTTCATAAGAGGAAACAGAGGTTTGGAAACCCTCATCATTCCCAAACAGCTGACTCTGGAAATGGCAACACGCTAGGGTGACTCGGTTATTCACACACTTGTTTGCACTTCAAAAGGAAAAAAAGAAAAGCCTGTTTGTTTTCTGATACTCAAGAAAATTTTGCATGTGGCTGGATTTGGAGATATAATCAAACTAGCACAGCTCATATCCAAGCTGAGGCCACCAGCCACTCTGGGGAGGTTACTGACAAGTGGCCCAGATTTTGCAGTTTATCCAAAAGGGTAGATTATTCGTTAGACAGAAGCCTCATCAAACATTGGCGTGATATGGTTTACATATGAAAAGCTATATTCTTTACTTAACATTCACAAGTTGCTTATGGATTAATTAGCCCATCTGCCACAACAAATGTGTTCACACTTCTTTTGCATCAGTTGCTGAAAAGCCACTACTTTTCTCCTATCCCCTTATCCTTATCAATATAATGGAAAATAACTTATTAGAAACAAGACACTTATTTTTTCATCTCTGTATATTTTTCAACTTAAGTGCTGGGGTATGAGGGAAGCCTTCCCAGAGGATGGCTTCCCACGATCAGTGTCTCCTTTAGTCACCAGTCCTCCGTTTGCTAGTTCCTCCGAATGTCTTCTGGCTGCTTCAAGTTTGACATGATTACAGCTACTCCTTTCGCTGGCTTCCAGTCACAAATGTAGTTGTTATGAGGACAATCTTTCTACCCTGGAACTTTTATCATGGGCATCTTCTTTCCTCCCTGGTGTTGTGGCCAATTCTGATAACCCTTTCAAGGTATAATGCTCTGGATTCTCATTTATCTCAAATCAGGTGGTTCAATTACCTTTGGAGTCCAGTCATTCCATTGTGTGATTGCTAGCCCCTGGTCAGATAGTGATCACATGCATCTTTTCAGTTGTATTCTAGTTGCTGCCCTCCAGTTGCTTGGTAGAGGCAGAACCAAACCTATTTTGAGCACTTATCGACGTGCCAGATGTTATGGTAATAGAGGGAATTATCTCATAGACGTCTCGTGTTTATTATGACACGCTAACCTCTCACCTGTGCCTTTCACCAACAGCTTCATGAAGAAGTCTCTTTCTCTATGCCATGCTTTAATCAGATCGCCAGTGTTTTTGAAACCCTTCTACATGAAAACTTCAAACTCAAGCTCCGCAATGCATATTCCTCTTTTAATTTTCAAATTACTTCTCTTCCCATCAGTTTTGTTCCCAACTCTTCTTAGGCAGTTTTTCCTCTTGAAAATCAGCTTTCCTGTTATTCTTCTGGCATTTTTGTTTTCCTCCTTTTACTAGGCACCCAGAACACTTGTGGTCTGCACCCATGACTACCTACATTAGGTGGGACACCTTTAACAGAGGGCTTCTCCATCTCCTGTCTCATTTCACAAAACATATAAAAATTGTATGCAATTCATACAAAAGCAAGGTTGAGACAGGGAAGGAGGGATGGGCAGGAGAGGAAGCAAGGGAAGGAGAGAGAGAGAATATGATGGAAAAGAAATATAATGATAAGGATAAGGAACCATGAATACCAGATACCACGTTGGTTTAGAGTCTGGCCACTTGGGAAAAATGAGGTTTGGCTATTAATTTATTTGTTCATTTATTGCAAACTTTTTTCTATGGATTAAAACCTCAGATATTCGCCCAATTTTCTTCTTCCTGGCTGTAACTGATGATAACTGAGCAAAGCAACTGTCAGAGAACCCCAATTAAGCTATTCTTTTTTGTTATTGTGAAAGGCGTAATTTATAAAATGGTGACCTTTTGGGAGGCTAACAGTATGTTGATGAACTTCAAGTGAAGTGAAAAAAAAGTGTTTAGTATCATCAGTGCTTACATTTTCTAAGGGATCACATGGGACAGTAGAGCCTTTAAAGGTCATAGACTTCTTTACTTTGAGAGATATTAAATAGCTTATGAAAATAGAGGTCAGCTGCATGATAACTGGAAGAAAAGAACATTCCCAATGGGGAAGTAAGATATTTGAGATTTTATTGACTGTCCTTTTGTAAGATTGTATTTGATGGTCCTTAAAGCAAAGAAATGAAATTTACATATAAATGCTATAATTGTAAATGAATGAATGTACGGGTCTTAGAATCAATAGCTATTGATCTTGCTGTGAGAACGCTAATACTGTCTGCATATACTGAACATTATAATAAGAACTAATTATTTCACAGCCTAAAATACTCTTTGGTAATCTTTATGTTTCTGCAGAAATTGTTATACGTTTCTGGATTTTGCAGAAATAATCAGTAATCAGTGAGGAACTCGCTTTTTAAAAATTACTCTTGCTTTGAAAATCACAAAAACAAGTAAGAAACAAAGGAATACCAAGACTACATTGTAGGCAAGGCGCTGAGCCACCTTGAGAAAGAAATAGGATAATGGCATTAGTCCGTCCACTACATAATGACACAAAATTTATGCATTAGAAGGATTTAATGTGTGACTGGAAGACACCCTAGCCACAAATTGTTTTTCTCTTTACCTTCAGATATTGTTTGAAGTCCTTCAAAAAGGGCACTGTCTTCCTTCATTCTACCCCTATTAGGGGTTACTTTAAATGTAAGGCTTATAGATTATGACCAAGATTTCTTTTCAGGGTGAGAAGGATGTAAGACTTTGCAGGATTGGATATTCACTAAACTGAAGGGACACCATAAAGCAGAAGCCTGGAGACAAAGGGCAGTTTCTCCCTACCCCATAGATTCTGGCAGAGCAATCTTGTCTACTACTGGATCATCTTCTACAACCCTGGAGTTCTTAAATACAGACCACAGTGTGATACATAAAGAATGATACCAGCCAAGATGAGAGGCTAGATTTTAGGTTTTGTTTCTCCATTCTTGGATTTCACTTACCATCTGCTGATTACACATCCTCAAGAGAGAAAGTGGTGGCCTCGGCCTAAAGTACCCTAGACCAATAGCTCAAGGAATGAATATGTCCATTGATGTCCCTTGTTAACATACTCCCCCATGCCCAAGGTTATCTAGACATTCCAAGGTTGTACCAATACCAAGGCAGCAATAATGTTCAACTTTAGTCCATAGAGAAAAGAATCAGAGTGAGAATGTAAAGATTCATGAGTGTATGCACACTGGTAGGTAACCATTTGTATTGTCTACTGAAGTTTCTTACTAGTGATCCAAGAACTGTACTGGGACATATTTTGCTGGTGAGGAAACTTAATTGCTCAATTTTTGAAGGCACATTAACTCTTTCAGAGTCCATTGAGTAAATTAGGTCCTCCAGGTCATTAAGCCTGTCTCGACATGACATGATGATTTCTACCTGGCATTGTATCATTTACCCCCAAATGCCCCACACTTGCATGTCAGCCACTGTTCTCTGACTGCAACTCAGTGACTTTCTTTGCTTCTTCTTAAGTCACCCAGGGATCCCTAAGGATTTGCTGGTACATGGCTGTTATGAGAGCCTCCCCAACAGGCAGATGGCTTCATTGTCTAGAAAGAGTATCATTTCAGGGGTTTTAAGCACAGTATTGTGCCCCCAAGTATCTTTTCCTATTTGCAAAAACCAACATTATTGATTCATCTAGGGTGGGAACTGTGAAGATATTTCGGGATGCTGTAGGCCTTTATTAACACAACTTCCACGATGGACTCTGTCATCAGGACTGGTTTTAGGAAAATAAACTGACAGCAATGTGAAAGCAGTCTGTACTGCCACTGGAAAGAGTGTTTAGAAAATTGTGTGGGTGTCTGGAGTGCCACAAAGGCTGGAGCACAGCACTGGCTCTTGGTAATTAGGCATGGGAGAGTCTCACAAAAAGAATGATTTTTCTCTCCCAAATGCCAGTAGTTGTCCCTGCTGGAAAGCAGTGACAGAGAGCAAAGGCAGACATTCCCTCTCTCTGTTATGTCCAGGGCTACTATGGAGAGTCGTAAATTGGTATAAATTAAAACAGGCAAGGATCCAAAGGAACAGAGTATATTCAGAGATGTTTTAGAGCAGTGCGCCCTTCAAGTGCATATAAATCAGCTGGGATCCTGTTAATACACCAGCTCGGACTCAGCAGGCCTGGGTTGGGTCAGGGATCCTGCATTTCTAGTAATCTCTTATGCTTGTGCTTATGCTGCTGGTCCACAGACCACACGTTGAACAGCCAAGATTTACAATAAAATGTATGGTAACATGGTCTTGATTTTATGACGATAACATGGTCTTGGATTTAAAAACAATATGAAAGGAATTGGACAATACCCACAAAATCAGATGTCAAGCCAGTCAAACTTTGATTAAATATTGAAAATTCCACAAAGAGATGGATAGGACATTTTTTAAAAAAAGATATACTTAACATTTCTACCTATCTGAAGGTTTGGGTGAACATTTTCTGAGGCCGACGTGTGATTCAAATTTTTTAATCTTTACTAATGATCCTGACAGTATCCTTCTGAATGAAACAAGAAGCAATTGTTTTCCTAATCTTCTTCACTTCCGAGTATTGCTGAAGTGTTCAGTAAATGTCAGTGTCCAATTAAATAATGCTTTACAAACTTCGTATGAGAGCGGATGTTTAAACTTAGCCTCCCACCTTTTCTTAATCTAGGATGACAGCCTCTCTGTTCTTTCCTCTGTGATGAGCAGTGTCCTTATATCTTCACAGGTCAATGGGAAGGATCTCTCAAAGGCCACCCATGAAGAGGCAGTGGAAGCTTTTCGAAATGCCAAGGAGCCCATTGTGGTCCAGGTGCTAAGACGAACACCTCTCAGTAAACCAGCCTATGGAACGGCCCCAGCAGTGCAGCTCATGGACGCTAGCACTCAGACAGACATCACCTTTGAGCACATCATGGCTCTGGCAAAACTTCGGCCGCCTACCCCTCCAGTGCCAGACATCTGTCCATTCCTGCTCTCAGACAGGTATTTTTTTTTCCTGTCATTTTTCCCAAAGCCCTATTTGTTTTCACTCAGCATTCCAAGTAGGTGTTGGAGAGAATCAGTCACACTAGCAAGCTGACCATTATAGAGACAGGCTCTCAGTTCTCTTTGGAAAACGTCTCCATTGTGTCTATATCCAATTAGATCCCAGCTGGCCCTGCGAGTGACTTTCCCTGACCCACACAGTTGCTTCACGTTAGGAATCATGCTTGCTGCGGAGCAATGAAGAATTCTGGCTCTGATTAGTTCATCTTCATATTTCCAGCCATCAAAAACCTCATGCTACTCGTGAGCACCGGTCAGGGAAATAGCTTTTCTCACCAAAGCTGCCAAAAACCTTATTAAGACTGACACAGAAGTGGCGTGTTGGCACTCTGGTCTCCTCTGTGGGTCGCCTCTCTCTCTTTCACTCTTGCTTTTCTCTTCTTTAAAGGAAAAGCTAGGAAATTAATTTAATTAAAGTGTAATTCTCCAAAGAAAGCAATTACCCAATATAAGGAGATGTCAACAAAAGATTCTGACTGTCAGTGAGTAAGTATAAGGGCTGTGAAATCAGAATCTATTAAAGGAATATCTTTTCCCAATTTTTTACCTAATTTAAAGGCAGGTCAAGAGATTTTATTCAAATAATCTTACCTGTACAGTCTTATTTTATGAGGAAGTATGTTTTGCCCCATACATTTTGCTCTGTGTGCTATGCAGCAAATATTCAAACATTAGAGAGAGTTTGATTTATAAGAACAATGGTCTCTTTAGGCTGCATTTTCATTGCCTACTACAATCCATTCTGCACTCTGTAAAACACAAATCTGATCACTTCCCTGCCCTTTAGTGGCTTCTGTTCGTGTCAGTGGTCCACAGGTGTGCATTAGAATCATCTGGGAATTTTAAAAAGGCATATCAACGCAATGCCTGAATCCCACATAAGACCAATCAAAAAGGAGTTTTTAGAGTGAGCCCCAAGCACCAAATCTTTTTGCCAAAATCTCCCTAGGCAATTTTAAGGTACAGTCATGTTTTGGAAACCACTCCTTGAAACTTGAAGTTCCAGGAGGGCAAGGACGCTGTTTATCTTGCTTCCTACTCCATCCAAGCAACCACTACTTATCAAATAGCCCCCTTTATCTGGCACTGGAAGTAGATGCTGGGCATGCAACTGGGAATGAAAATAAAGTCACCACCTACCTTCTAGAGGAGGAGAAGAATACACAGGCAAACAAATACTGAATATTGATAAGTGCTACCTAACGCAGAGGAGACTTCCAATAAACACTCTCTTGAACGAATAACAGCTAATATTTATTAACTAATTTGGCATGTTTTTGGTAATATTACAAGTGGTCTACATTTATTAACCCACTTAGTCCTCACAACAGTCTTTAGAGGGAGTGCATTGTACTATAACCATCACAGATGAGGGAAGATGTTAAGTAATTTGGCCGAGGTCATATTGGAAGGAAGTGATAGGGCCAGGCTTCTGAGCCTAAGAGGTCCGACCCCACTACCCACTCTCTAAACAGATATCCTATGTCGCTCTCCGTAAGTCCAGCAGACCTTAGCTTAAAGGCAATCTCTTCTAGCAAACTTCCTAGAACTGCAGTAGGGACATCCCCCCTCCCATCTGTTCCATATTTCCCCTGAAGTCTCACATTTCACATTTGACATTCCCACCTTACTGCTCTACCCAGTGCACAGGGCAAGGATCGGATTTGGTATACCCACAGATTTCTAGCCCTCAGGAGAGGGCCTAGCATCTCGTAGACAATAAATGTTTATTGAATGAATAAGGTGTTCCTTGTGGCAGAGCTCCCTTCTTACCAACTGAAAGACAAGAGAAACCCATTAGTGTTCCAAAGCAGCAAGCTTAATGGTTTACCAGCCCAAATGGGTTTTCAGAGCCAGTCTAAATTTAAGCAAGGACAGTTTACCTGTTAGACCAGCAAGTAAAATGTTCCATGTACTGCTTTTGCTGTTAGGGTTCACGTCGATTAGCCCTATGTGGAGATGACAGCCATAGATAGCAGTGAGAAGAGATGGTAGAATGTTTATATTGAGGGTGTGAGGACCCCAGGATGCGTCTCTTGTGCACCTTCGGACTAGAGATAAGGAAACGATTTATACTACTAACTCCAGTTTTTCAGTAATGTCCACCCAGGTGGAGCTTGGAGATTGCACCTGCCACCAGCTTGCTTAATTGCACTGAGTCTTTTTCACTAACTTCTAGAAATAGAGATGCCCTCGTGTCCTTTGCCTTTAAACTATACTTGACCTTCACATGGTCTAAAGTATAGGATCTATATCATAGCATATAGCAATTTTAAAGCATTTCTATAAATGACTTACAACATTTTTCTGAAGCGAGATAAATAAAATTTATGTACGATGCCCCAGGTCTCCCTTATTTCCTTTAATCCTCTCTGAATTTTTGGAAGGGATTATGAAACCCTATGGCTTATAGGAATTTCCAGCGAGGTGTCAACATGAATGCTGATTAATATTTGTGCATGGGCCCTCTATCAAAGAGGGAAAAATGTGTGTTATGAGGGAGAACAAGGAAGAAGGTCTTAAGGATTGAGGGCAAGGCAAGTATGCTTTACAATCTGAAAAATGGGTGCTTTTGAAATCAGATTTCAAAAAACAGTTTGGGGCTGTGCATTAGGAAATGGGTAGTACTTCATTGTAAAAACCCCTCTTTGGGTAGACTATGGTCTCCGAAGCCACACACCCATGTATGGAGCAAGTCACATTTGGTGGAATGGAAGCAGGCCAGGGAGTATCCCGCACCATGGCCGGTAAGAGACTTCACATCAGACTCTTTGGAGTGCAGTTCTGGCCATGGGCCCTTCCTCTTGGTATTCTCTCAGAAAATCAAACTGACAGAACCCATGGAGGGGAGAGAGAAAGCAATTGCTTTTTGCGAGCTTCTAGTTCACTCAAAGCCTGGATTGCTACAGGTCTTATGGCAAAGCAGAGAAAACAAGTGAAATTCTAAAATCAGTTTTAATCTTGAAAACAACCCTTTTGAGCCATTTCTATCATCTCGCTACATTCCCCACAGCTGCCATTCTCTTCATCCGATGGAGCATGAATTTTATGAGGACAATGAGTATCTTTCCAGCTTGCCTGCTGATGCAGACAGAGCAGAGGACTTTGAATATGAGGTAAGATCGTTTTCACACCACTTCACGTTTCTTCATGAAGTTATGGTCGAGGGGTTTTGCACAACAAAGAAAAATTTAACTTATTACTATGAGAAATATTTTTGTCTATTACATATTGAGGGTAAGTTCTTTTACCTATTGTTTGTTTGGGCTGTTTGTGTCTAGTATTTTAGATATACTAGAAAACATTTTTATAATATAGGCTTGAAAATAATTTGCTTGCATTTTTGTTGATTTTCATAAATAGTATTAGGGCAGCCACTTTTTTTTCTTTTTACTGTAATGAGGTAATTTCCAAGTAGAGTTTGAAAAAAAAATTATATTTAAAATCAAGATTGTACTTCTGTTTTCATTCATTGGCATTTTGATTTTAGTTGACAAACTAAATTGTTTTATATTAGGTATATTTTCTTTCACTTATTCAACATTCTCTTTATTTGTGACTCAAGTATATACCATAAAAAGCAATTTCACTGACTTTCTAGAAAGAGGAATGGTCTAATGCCCTTTTATTGTTTAGCCTTAACACCATATACGGTAGAGTACCTAGACTGTGATATACAATAATTCCAAAAGCCCATCGATTAATTATTTAAAAGCTTTCACAAAAGTTAAAGGATTTATCCTAATATTTCCTCTTCTGCTGCCATCTATAAATCTTTGAAAGGTTTCAGACCACTCTGACATTTGGAAATAAAGTAGATTGGGAAGGTAAAGAAGCTTTGGTAAACAGGTAGAGAACCCATGATTATCTGCCCTTTTAATGCTTTAGATGATGTCATACAAGTTCAGCAAAATGTTCTTTTCCGTTTTACAACCTGGAAATCCTGAAATCTCTTCCCTTAGGAGGATGTGAAATCAAATAAGGCCGATTCCGTGAAGCTCACCCAAAGCAAATAGACGTTTATTTGAAATCTTTGCCCCGCAAAAGTCATTGCTGGGGATTACCAAAATCATTTGTGTGATGATACCTAGCATCTGAGTAGATGGTTTCAGCGTTGTTGTTGCTCCTACTGATTTTTTATCCCTTTTCCATTAAGTTGATTGAAAAGTTTTATTTTATAAATCTATTCAAGGACTGGTATGCACTGAAATATCCATTAAGTTTTGTATTCTCATGAAAAACAAATTACAAAATTGAGTCACTTACCCAAATAATTCAAGATTAAATGATGTTTTCCTTTCAGCTAATGAATACTTTGGGCTTAGGGAGTGGAATTACCTAGCTCACTTCAGCTTTTTATTTAGTTTGTGCCTTTAAGCTTTATTAAAAATAAATCTGTATTCGGAGGGAGGGCATGGAAGAAAAACTTGCTTAGGCTAGCAGGTTAACAGTAAAAATTATGTTAATTAATTAACATATCGTTGAATATTCCAATGCAGACATATTTCCTTACCTTTTTGTAGGGCTTACTGTAGCTGAAGCACATCCTCTTTTTTGAACAATATAAATCCCTAATAGATGCCAGCCTCAGTATGATGACAGTGGTAAATGCTCAGACAGGTCCTCTGTAGCCTGTAATCTCAACTAATCACAGCATCATAGTCATTAATTTGCTGTCAGCTGTGATTCTCTTGCCGAAGGCGTCTTTCTGAGTGATTGAAATAAGAATGTTCCTGTGAAATTTAAATAAGGAAGACATTACTGTGACAGGCTTCAATCACGAGAAAGGATGCATTTGAAAGCATTGTACATGGTTAAACAGAGGGGCAGAGGCGTGGGGGAGTATCCCAAGGATCATTTACCAGGTTTCGGAGAGAATAATGGTTCTACCTAGCACTCCTCAGTCTGTCCCGGTTACGAGGCAGAGTGGCACACACCATCCCTCACAGCTGTGTGAGATTAGATGGTAAAATCTAGTCCACGGCTGTCAGCATTGCTGATGATTGTGGATGATTGCTGAGCATCGTGGATGCCACATTAAGTGGGGAAACTTTGAAATCACAGTCCTGTCTCCTGCCCTGTTGTACTTAGACGCACACCAGTCAAGTGCCTCTGTGACCAGCTAAGATGACCTCAGCTCCCTCAGAGCTCTGAGGACGCAGTGGTCGGGCCCCTTCCAGGACTGCTTCTGTGCCTCTTAGAGAATATTACAGGAAACAGGCCTAATGGCCAAAGAGAGAACTTCATCTCAAAAAAAGATAAGATTTCTCCTCAACCTAGAGGAGAACACACATCAGCAGGCTGTCGAAGAAGCTGAGGAAGGTTCCCTTTCCATCTGCTCCTATTCGTTTCTACCTTCAGTAGTTAATGAGCACTTAAAATAGGCCAGGCTCTTATCTAAGTATGTGATTGATGGAGCCTCTGCAGGGGCAGCTTAACCCGCAGGGAAACGGGAAAGACACAGCCTGTTCTGGGATGGGCAGGGCTAACGGAGAGCAAATGCGTGGGTAGTGGAGACAGAAAACGCATGGTGTTGTTTGTTGGGACGGGGTCTTGCTGTCTTATGCAAGGAAGTCGGGGAAGGCCTCTCTCATAGGAAACTTAAGGAAAGTAAGAGAGCAGCCACGTGGGAAGGGCAAGTACAAAAGACCGGAAGCGGAAGCATGCCCGGTGTGCTTAAGGAACAGCAGAGGCCAGTGCTCTAGCAGCCTGGACAAGGAGGAGAGTGGAAGGAGGAGAAGCCAGAGGGAGGAGGGGCTTATCTTGAGGCACCTTTCACTTTCCCCGTGAGGATGGAAAGTTGCTGTAGAAGAGCTGAAACCCTAGCAAGATTCCTCTGGTTGCCAGAATGAATCTGACAGTTGCAGGGGGATGGGGGCGGGGTGGTGGGGGAGTGTTGGGCGTAGGAAGCAAAGGCTGCAGCGGCATAGTCAGGCAAGCCAAAGTGGATGCCCGGGGATGGTGAGGCAGAAAGGGCTGAGGCATGGTCTGGAAGGACAGCATTCATCCCTGGGCACAGGGTTTTGCCTAAATGTCCGTGTTTCCATCATTTGCCTCCAAGCTGCAATTAGATTTGGGCTACAGATTTGGGCTAAAAACGGGATTTTCCTTCTGACTTTTTAAAAAGCAAAATACCATAGGGCGAAGGGAAACACAGCTTCTGGCATCCACTGGAACTAGCATAATAAACCCACTCTTTAAAAGACAGGAAGTGCAAAGAACTGCATTTCTGAACTTGCTAAAATGCCAACTGTGTAACTGTAGAGGCCCCTTTGTAAAGACCTACTTGCTATGGACTCAGTGAACCAAAGCTGATCTGTCTATCTTGTGCCTACATATTTAGGGACTTTGAGTGCCTGGATTATTGACCCAATAGACCAAAACAGATCTGACTATCTTGTAAATACATATTTAGGGACTTTTTAACATGCAGATTATTGCATTGATAGACTGTAACAGCTCCCTTCAGAGCCATGATAGGCAGCAAATGCTTCTTTGGAGATATTATAGTCAGCATGTCAATGTTATGGTGACTCTGGTGCGTTACGGACCTCTATGAAATTTTAATGACACCCATATCTCACCATGGCCTATCACCACTTTGCCTAGGAAAATTATTTGACTGGCTTTAAAATTTCCTCACTGTGCTCCAGAAAAGTCTCAGAGGACCAGTCTGCATTAAAAGACTCATAGCTTTAAGTGTGTTCTCTTCTATAAATGATGGGCCTTGTTCTCTAATTAAAAATGATAAAGGATTTTAATTTTATTTGTGAGAGAAATAATAAAAATATAAAATTTAAATAATGTACCCATCCTAAGAGTCAGGGTGCCCCATACCACTGAAATACTACTGAGGATTAAGCGTCTTCTCTTCTTTATTTTCAACTTTGTGCACTTTTTTCCTAGAGCCAGCTAAAGGTTGAAATAAATCATAAATAGCCCTTAGCAACTCAGAGGCAGATCTCAAATCCAGCCTCTACCAGAAATAATTTAAAGGGAAAGGCTTCAAGAAATATAGAGCCCTTTCATCCAACCCCTAATAAAGATATGTTTGCCCCTGCTGGAGTGCAAGGAAGATGCTGAATTTTCTGCAGCATTTACCATTAACTCTCAAAAGTCGGTGCGCTAGAGAAGAGTCAGAGAAGTAACATTAGACTAATAGTAAAGTCCAACATTTTGATAGCATAAAACATCAGGTTAGCCAAGACAAGCAAATAATTTAAGTAGCACTTCGAAGTCTGGTGGTTTTCATCACCTAGAAATGCCACTCAAAACCATTTCTACTCCTCCTCCTGAGATCAGGCTAAATACCCAAGAACCTGAATTAAGTGTACATCGAGTTCCCCTTCTGAACATGTGGTCATCAGAATAAGAAGGAATTTAGAAGTTGGCTTGAAGAGGTGTTAAAAGTAGAAGGGTGAAAAGGACAAGTGTATGTCAGGTATATATCAACTGTGTATATATCAACTGAAAACCAAACCCAGGCTCCTATGTAGAAATAGGAAAGAGCATTTAGCACATTAATTATGTTCTTCTTGACAATTCTTATGCAAAGTGTAATAAACCCTGTGCTATGCTGAGAAAGGTCATTTTGCAAAATTTGTTTTCCAGACCTAGATCCCTATGAATAGGTGCAGAATATTTGTGACAATCTGAGTAGATAATCTCTCTCATACATAGTTAAAGAAAAGAGAATTATGGATCAAGGAGATGGTCATTCAAAAAAATAACAAGAGGATAAATATTAACTAGATTTTGGTCATATTTTTCAAGCAGCTTCATGACTGTGAAACAAACTTAGGGAAAAAATTCATGTGTGTGTGTAGAACTTGGTGGCTCCTTTCTAGGCTGTGAGGGCAGAGACCTTATCTGTCTGTTTGTCATCGATCACATCACCCATTTCATAGTGGGTGCTCATATTTGGTGAATGAACAAAAGAGGATTCCTGTTGTTGTCTGCATGGACCAACTTTTGAGCAATGCAGTCCCTTTGGACCTTTTTGTACAAGGGAATTGGAAAGGAACCTGGGACCACCATGCAGTTATAACAGATATCCTCTCTCTTTCTCATAGGTATATGTTCCTTTTTTTATTAAGTTCATACCTCTCTGCAATGT